GCCTCCGCCCGCCTCGCCCGCGCCGCCCACCTGCGCCACCGAGCCGGTGCCGGGGGTGGCAGGGCTCCGCAACCACGGCAACACGTGCTTCATGAACGCCACGCTGCAGTGTCTGAGCAACACCGAGCTCTTCGCAGAGTACCTGGCGCTGGGCCAGTACCGCGCGGGCCGGCGCGAGCCTTCTCCCGACCCCGAACCGCCTGCAGGCCGCGGCGTGCAGGGCCAGGGCGAGGTCACTGAGCAGCTGGCACAGCTGGTGCGGGCCCTCTGGACCCTCGAGTACACCCCGCAACACAGCCGAGACTTTAAGGTGAGGCCTCTGGCGCCGATCCACGAGGGGGTGCCTGCGCGCCTCTGTCTTCCTTCTTTCCCTGCGCCTCTCCGGGCTGCACAGACTGAGTTTCTTGTTCAAATTGGCCCCAAGTCTTGACAGCATTGATGGACAGGGAGATCATTCATTCATTCGTTTGTTCATCGGTACCTTCAACATGCATTTATTACGAACCAGGCCCCTGGGTTCCGCCGTGAACACCACCAAATGCCTTTTAGGATCTTAGGTTCGTGGAGTGTTGAGCTTGGGTTCGGATTTTTGTTTTCTGCCACTTCCTGGCTGTGTGACTTCGGGTAAGTTAATAGCTCTGTGCCACGTTTTCTTTATCTGGTAATGCGAAGTAAGGTGGTTGTGAATTTCAAAATTGGTATAGTAGGTTGAATGAACCCTATGGAATTAATTACTCATTTGGGGGCTGGTTTTTACTTAAAAGCCAGCACTTTTTTAAAAATTTCATTTTGTTGCAAATATGCACAGCAAAACAGAGCACTTTCTCTGTGTACGATTCAGTGGCATCGGTTACAGTCTTCCAGTTTTGCCAGCATTCTCTCCGTCCTTTTTTAGTCACATAAATTCACTGCCCACTAAGGTTCCTATCTAAATCGGCGAACTTGCTACTGTCTGTTTGATCCTATAGAGACAGTTCTTAAAAGGTATTTTTCACTAGTTGAACAAAATGATTGTTTGGTTTTACAATCATTATTTTTGGTTTCAGGTTTGCAGATTATTTCAGGACAATAGTTTTCCAGGGATCATTCAGCCTGCCCCTGGCTTTAGAAAGTCTGGAGTACATCAGAATTTAATATTCTGTTTTGTGTTTTTCCCCTGTAATCAGAATTCTATAGAGAGTTTGTTCAAAATGTTCAGTAATGGTAGCCATGTGTCATTTAGATCTTGTGGTCTCATGGCAGCCAAGGAGGCCGGTGTTCATGGAGGTAGTTTGCCACACATGTCATATCCTCCTGTTCCTCGCCGGTGACTTACTTTATTTTATTGGAGGCAGGGATTAGGGTTTCCTATCAGCAGAGGTGGCATTAGGAATGAGACTTGAATGACCACAGAGAGATGTAGCTAAGGGGCAGTCTGGGATAAGTGTGTCCCAGGTGTTATGGTTAGGTGCCACCAAGTTGGTTCCGACTCCTGGTGACCCTGTGTCCAACAGTGTCCACCATCAGTTTTGCACCATCTTCACATTCGGTCCTCTGTGTGAGCCCATTGTTGTAACCATTGTGCCAGTCCATTTCGTTGAGGGTCTATCTCTTTTTTTCTCGACCCTCTACTTTGCCAAGCATGGTGTCCTTCTCCAGAGGACATGTCCACATTATGAGATGTGGTACTTGGTGTGGTACTGTGGGTTAATGTGCTGGACTGCAAGGTCAGTTTGAACTACAAGGTCGGCAGTTCAAGCTCACCAGTTGCTCCTTGGAAACCCTATACAAGGTCGTTCTGAGTCAGAGCCCACTTGTGGCACTCAACAACAGCAGTAACTTGCTTCTAAGGAGCATTCTGGCTGTACTTCTAAGACAGATTTGTTTGATCTCCTAGCAGTGCATGGTATATTTGGTATTCTCTGCCAACACCATAATTCAGAGTACTGTCGTCCTTATTCATTGTCCACCTTTCAAGTTGCATGTGAGGTAATTGAAAGTATCATGCCTTGAGTTGAGCATACGTTACCTCAAAGTGTGTCAAACAGCCTTTCTTTCCAGCACTTGAAAGAGGTCTTGTGTGGCAGGTTTACCTAATGCAATATGCCGTGTGATTTCCTGACTGCTGCTTCCCTGGACATTGATTGTGGATCCACGCAAAATGAACTCATGGACAACGTCAGTCTTTTCTCCATTTATCAGGTTGTTATTTATTGATCTAGGTGTGCCAACTTTGTTTTCTTTGCATTGAGGCATACTGCATACTATACTGAAGACTGTGGCCTTTGATCATCATCGGTAAGTGCTTCAAGTCCTCACTTTCAGTCAGTGAAAACCCTGTTTCGTACTCGTGGGGTTGACTTGAGTTGGAATGGACTAGAAGGCAACTAAAAATAGCAGCAAGAAGAATGAAATTCTTGGAGGGAGAGGAGATAACATTTGCTGCACTGTATGATCAGCACTGGACTGTGAACCACGAGGTCGGCAGTTCAAGCCTATGAGCTGCTCCTTAGAAACCCTATACAGGGTTGCTATGAGTAGGAATCCACTCGATAGCACTCAACAACATTAAGGAGCCCCCGTGGCGCGGTAGGATAAGCACTGGACTGCTAACCGCAAGGCCAGCAGTTCAGATCTACGAGCAGCTGTGCAGAAGAAAGATGAGGCTGTGGGTTATCAAATTAGGAGTCCCTGGGATGCAATGGCTAAGCGCTTGCTGCTAACCCAAAAGGTTTGAACCCACCAGCAACTCAGGAGGAAAGACCTGGTCATCTGCTTTTGTAAAGATGAGTCTTGGAAAGCCTTACAGGGTCGGTCGCTGTAAGTTGGAAGCAACCTGATCGCACGCTGCACTGACAACAGTGATCAGATTAATGATAAGTATTTATCTGTATCTAGCATTTTTGGCTTACAGGCCATATGGAAGCAAATGGGACTGGGTCTGGTCTTGGACTGTATGTTATATGCCATTTAACTGGCCATGTAGTGAAAGGTGAGTGAGGGGACCTAGTGGTGGCCTGGGGCCAGGTGATGCAGGCTCATTTAGGCTGCATCATGGAACTGAGCCTTTATTTTAAGTACAGGAGGAAAGTGAGGGATACTTGTAGGTGGAACATGGACATGGTCTTATTGTTAAGTGCTGTTGAGTCAGTTCTGACTCATAGCAAGACTATATAGGGGTTCTGAAGGAGCTCTGGTAGCGGAGTGGTTACGAATTGGGCTGCTAATCTCATGGTCAGCAGTTCGAAACTACCAGCTGTTCCATGGGAGAAAGATGAGGCTTTTCTGTTCCTGTAAAGATTTATAGCCTCGGAAACCCGATGAGTCGGAAACGACTCCACGGCACATAACAACAACAACATAGAGGTTCTGAGATTTGGCAAGTAGGTTTGAATCGCAGAGCTTGCAGTTAGCAGTTCAGTGCTTATCCTACAGAGCTTATCAGGGCCACCACATGGTATTAAGTAGAATGAAATCACACAACTAGAAAGTTATTCTGAAATCACACAATTAGAAAGTTATTCCGTTTTTCACTCTCTTTCTGCTCTGGAGAAAGCCTCAGCGTGGTGTTCCATAGCCTGTCTTTAACATCTCTCTCACCCCCTGTCTTACGTCCCCCCCACCTTTTTTTTTTTTTAACAAAGAAATGTTTCAAGCTTAGAGACTTTAGCAGGGAAGAGTAGCCAGAGGATAATAAGTTGGTCATGTTTTCATTGGATTTGTTTGTTTACTTGCCGTACATCTATGGCAAGTGCTTTTCCAGTGGTGCTATTGTTTCTTGCTAAAATATATTTATTTAAGTAAAAAAAGTGATTTTATTAAAGTATAGATGGTATCTGGCCAAGCAGTCTGCACTTCAGATGTTGCTAAGGAACAACGCTGCCAGGCTGCACCAATTCCATTTTATTTGTGTTTTATTTATATTTGTTTATGTTGCTGGAATTAAAGTCAGTGGTTCAGACCCACCAGCTGCTCCTTGGAAACCCTATACACGGTCTCTATGAGTCTGAACCGACTCGGTGGCATTTCACAAAAACAATAGTTAAGGCTCAACTCTGTTTTTCTCAAAAAAAAAGTTGTTTGATTGTTTGATCACTTGGGACTGGGGGAGAAAGAGTTGGCTCCATGTCAGCCGTCTCTAGAGTAAGAAAGCAGGAGAACAGCGCCCACCTGGTACAGGAAGCCTGGTTTCCCTGTCAGGTAACCTGACCAAGCCACACTTTTCCAAGGTCAGAGCCCAGTGTTTACATTTGGTTTTCTGTTCTTTTCTAAAATGCGAAAATTAATTTCTACAGCATCTTTGTTGGTGAACATTTCCACAGCTCTTTAAGAGGTTGCTTTACTTTTTTTCCCCATTGATAAGCTGTGAAAAGAAATAGATCAGTAATTCTAGGAGATTTATAAGAGTCTAGAAGACTGATTTATAGACATACTTTGGCAAAGTTGAACCGATTCTTAGAGGCCTGGTTTTTGAAACATGTAATCTTCTGAATCTTTATTAGATTTCATTCTGTGTTCATTCATTCATTCATTCAGCTTCCAGTTAGGAATGCATTTAGCTCAAGAAAGAGGAAACCTAGGGAGTACCTGAAGCAATGAAGATGTTGAAGTAGCGCACACAGTATTCGGGAGGTAGCCAGGTACAGGGGTTTGGTGAGCCCACTAGGAACGCAGACTCTGTGCTTCTGGTCTTGTCCTGAGAGTAAATGGTGCTGGTGGTGGTTGTTATGTGCTGTGGGGTCGGTTCGAATTTCGTAGTGACCCTGCATAGGGTTTCTGAGACTGTAAGTCTTCACGGGAGCAGAAAGCTTCATCTTTCTCCTGTGGATCAGCTGGTAATTTCGAACTGCTGACCTTGAGGTTAGCAGCCCAACTTGTAACCACTATGTATCTGTACCCATCTGTATCTCCTTTCATTCCCTAGTGAGTAAATAGGGAATAAACTTTTTTCCAAAGCCTCCATAGCAGGCTTCTGCTGACAGCTCACTGACATCTCATTGACGGTCGGTCACCATGTCAGTTGGCCAATCCTAGCTGCCATGGAGACTGGACATGGAATTTGGATTTTCCTGTCTTAATAGAGGAGATGAGTGAAGGAGTAGGGGCTCGGGGATGGCTCTTAGACAAGCCACCAATAAATAGTGTCTGTCTCAGTTACCATGTGCCAGGCACTTTGCTGTCTGATGGGGACTCACTGGGGAAGAGATTGTACCTGCTTGTGAAGAGCTCTGGGTAGAGGGGGAGATAGAAATGTAAGTAAACAAACTGGGAATTTCCTCAAGACTGGCTTGATTTTCACACTTCATTTTTCATTTTTATTGTGAATTGCTT